GCAGCCTTGATCCTGAACGCAAGAAAGAATCGATGGAGAAGTATTTGGGTCCAACACAGCCACAGGATCAAAACTAGCCAGTCTGTTCTGATGTTATATGCCCGTGTTTGCTTTTGCTCTACAACAGAAATACATCCATGGCTACTCAAGTGCACCTGTCATGGACATGTCAAGTTGAATCAATGAAAGACTGGCCAAGGAATATGAGCTTTCCCTAACAGAGGGCCAGGATCATTGTGCCTTCAGCACAGCTGGAGCCCCATATTTCACGTAAGTTAAACATTCTATGCAATGCGGTTCTTCTGAGAAGTCTATATGGTATACAGCTTGTTTAGTAAGAAAATAAGCTGTATTTCATTACTGTTTTGGTAAACATTTTTTTGCAAGCATTCCTTACTCAGGTTACGTGGAAATTTAGACAGTAAAAACTTTGTCTGTCAAAATTTCTAGCCCCAACTAAAAGAATGCACTAGTCTTACTGCTGTATTCTTTTGCTGCAGGCGTACCAATAATCAAGCCATCGAACTATTCCTTCCCGTTGGAACAAGAAGAGACAGTGATTTTGTACAAAATGTAAATATAGAATATGATCTTCTTCATCCACACACAGAGATGAGATCTTGTAATTATAGCAACCGGATTGAGGTTGTGAGTTGTACAGTGTTATTCTTTTCAAGTATATATGGTTCATTGTATATTCTTCTGCTTGTTGTAGTTTGTACATAACGCATTTGGATACATGGCTTCTCTCTCTTTTAGCCATTGCTGTTTATCTATTCTTCTCTGCTACTAGTAACACTTGATTTTCTTACAGAAAAAGTATAGCTCTCTGCAGATCTTCCGACAGAGCGGAAATGAAGCATGCAATTGGAATCAGACATCTGAAAGACCAGTGCAGAATGCATCAATCGAGAAATTGAATGCCACCACGTTTAGTCGAGCTCGTCCATCCCCCATCTCACAGAATAAGCCTTTTGCCTCCTCCAAATCACCCATGTAACACAGAAACCGTGAAGTAGAGAGATAGAAACTGCTGACATCTGGGGAAATTCCTCTGTCCTTCATTCCAAAGAAAAGTTGTTTTGCCTTTTCAACCATAGCACCTTGCAGAGGCCATGGATGATGCTACCGTAAGTAATTACATCAGGTTGACTGCCGCAAACAGACATGTTTGTAAACAACCTGCTTGCTTCACCTATCGTGTCGTTCGAACACAAATCCTTTATTGAAGTGTTGAAGTGGTAGCATTTAGGCTATAACAGCACCTTAAAATCTTCTCCAAAACCAAAACAACATGAGACACTCGACCCGTTTTGCAACAGCAATTAAGCAAGATGTTCAAAGTAATAAAATCAGGGAATACCCCGGTCACAAATAACATTGTGTGCTGCTACGGCTAGTGCCATTGCCAGCGCCGTTGCAAAAGAGGGCGGCTCGGCTGTTGAAAAGGCAAAGAATTTGGGCCACTTTAAGTAACAGTTGTGGTTCCAAAATTAATTTGGCCCAAGTGTATCTGTAGGATTCATTGAGCTCATTAACTCTTTTCTTTGCTGCTATGAAAAATAAAAAATAAAAAACACACTTTCTTTGTTGCTATGCACTGACTCCTTTACCATAAAGTAGGAACATTTTGACTAGAAGTTCTAGTCATTTCCTTCTCAGAGATTAATTACTCATTTCTATTATATATTTTGGTTATTTTCTACCCTACTGAACTTGGGCACGATCGGAGTAGAGAAGGAGCCAACAACTTAGAAGGATTTCGATCCGACGAAAAGATGGAAGGTGAATTCAGAATTCAATTCAAGTTGCTATATATGTAAATAACTGTGTTTTCTTACGAAAACTCTAGATCTTTATTAGCAATCCAAGAATGACTAGGGTTTTGCTTCTTGTTTTAATTTCTGAACTCCAACTTGAAATTTGAACATTTTAGAAATTGAATATATCAACCATCTAATGCAAATCAATCCTTTTTTTTTTTGGGTGGGAGTGGGACGAGTGCAGTGGGTGAGATAAAGTTTACATGGAAAATAAAGAATTTCTCCAAGCTTGATTCGCGGATGCTGTACTCAAACGTCTTCTCCCTCGAAGATTACAAATGGTAATTTTTTAATTTGTTTTATTTTTGGGTACGCATCTGTAGATTATTTGTATTTAATATGTAATGACTAGAGACTGAACTAGCACAGCAGACAATATAGTTGATGTTAGATCTTTTGTATTTTGCGCATTAAATTAATTGATGATTTCTGCAGGCGGATACTAGTGTACCCCAAGGGCAACAACAAGGTGGATCATTTGTCAATTTATCTAGACGTTGCAGATTCAGCGACTTTGCCCTCTGGTTGGAGTCGAAATGCAGAATTCTCCTTGACTGTTGTCAACCAAATTGATAACAACTCCTCAGTTAGACAAGGTATACTAAAATTAGGATGTCTAATCTCAATCACAAGATAGTGTAGATCCTACCTAAATTATATATACTACTTCTGGTCCATTTTACTCTTGAAAATTGTAAGGATCTATAAAAACACACTTATTACTAGTTAAAATTTCATATTGAAGAGTGGTTGGGAAGTTGAGATTTTTTTTTTTTTTTGTAAGAATAACGTAATTATTAATGAGGGTAAAATTGAAAAAGAAGACATTACATTACTGTTATATTGAAAATTGAAATTGAAATTGACAAGTAAATTGGACGATGGTAGTATCATACAATTAGGATTTATTGATAGAAAAAATTATCATACAATTAGGATGGATATCATGACATTTAATTGTTCTCTGCAGCTACAGAGCATAAATTTTGTGCAGATGAAGCTGATTGGGGCTTCACTTCATTCATCCCTCTTAAGGAATTGCATGATCTTGGAAGAGGTTATTTGGTGGAAGATACATGTATAATTAAGGCTAATGTTACTGTATTCCGCGATGAGTCACATGGTTCAAGCAAAGAGGCCAGAAATGAGATAGCTAATGGATGTAAAGTGGCCATAAGAAACTCAACTAAAGAAGATATTGATGCATTCTTCGTGGATTTGGAGTCTGAGATTTCTAGTATTAACAATCTTTCCTCGAAAGTTGGAGAAGAAGCGTTGACAGTGATAAGGAATACCTTGAACATGGATCCAGCTGACTCAAATGATCCAGGGAGAATTTCTCAAATAAAAACTGCATTTGATGTTTTAACTTCTCTTGATGATTACTCTGTACTTACAGCTGAGCAAAAAGAAGAATTACTAAATATGAAGGAAAAAATCGTTGACTTCCCTGAGAGAGCAGCGAAAGCAGCGAAGGACAAGAATCTGTTTATGCAGAAGGAATTTGTTAAGAAGACGCTTGGTCAGAAGCTGGGGAAGAGTCTAATTGAATTCAGAAAGACTAAGGAAGAAATCGAACAGCAGGAACGACAGATTGCCAACCTCCAGGAGCAAGTTGATGCCCTCCTTGCTCAAATTGGTGAGGCACAAAAGAAGAAAGACAATATCTCGTCCCAGCAGAAAGAGATGTTTGAACTTTCCAAGGACTTGAAAGCTGAACTTGAAGTGCTAGAAAAGCAGTGGCCAGAGTATGAAGCAAAGAAGGAGGCTGCTGAAGAGGAGGACAAGATGGTTAGAACAGAATGGCAAAAAATGAGACAGTTTGTTTCATCTCTAAACAAATATTTCTAACTTAGACTGCCATATTAATGCTTTTGTGTTGAATATTTGGTTTGTAAATCGAGGTTCCAAAACTATAAAATAAAAAAAAGGTGTCAAAAGTAGTTAAAATGTTGGCCTTAATTGCATGCTAGCAGCGCCAGTCCCCGCTAACTGCGGCAGCAGGGCGGCCTCATTCTCCATGGAGCCAACTACATATGAATGTAACTGAGACCTGCATAAGAGTTCCCAAAAAGATCACCATCATTGGCAAATGGCAATTCATATAACTGACATCCAAAGTGTCAGACTCAACGAAACTTATGAATTATGATCCACAAACCTCGAGGAACAAGAAAATGACACTTTATATGATCGTCCATTAGTGTCTGAATTGTCCTGCGTCTTGCAACAGATATCGTTAAAATCTCTCCACGTTTGACGGTTTCTTAATCTAACGCAAATTGCACTAGGTAATCTCTTCCGTTGAAACTCTATTACTTTCCCAATTCAAGTAGATCACAAATTAATCTCATTAAATGGTGGGATTATACCACCTCCTGCGATGTGACGATGGACCATTACAGTAACTGAGGCTTAGACCGTAAAATATTAACTTTGGACTAGTTGTCAATCTAGATGAAATGATATCTTTGGATTTAGTGTTATTCATGATATAAGCAGTTATAATACTATATAGTATTGTAATCTTACTATTATAATTTATTATTAAATAAATAAATATATAATATTATAAATAGATCATTGAATAAAAAAAA